CGAAAGGTTGACTTCTATCTTTACATGGATTAATAATAGAATATAGCGAAAATAGAAGAAAAATAATTAAATGCCCTGACTCCAACTTGTCCCCTAGGCAATTATAGGGATAGAATCACTCAATTTCATAGGACCATTTCACTTATCTACATTTCCAAAAGTTTGTTACGTCAAGTGAAATTAGCATAGATAAGGATCAGAGTAGTACGAGATCTAATTCAGATATCAAGGTAAAAGTAAGCTTAAAAAATACCACGTTTTGCTTACTTTAAAATTAATTATAGGAAAAATCTTATGAATGTATTTAAGGAAATATTTTCAGAATGATGCAGCTATGGCGATGCTGATGATAACGTAAGAATAATTGATGTAATCTATAGGCATGACTAAGGGAGATATTTATTTTAACTTCAGGGCTCATTCAGATATTAATGAGAACTGTACGCAATGAGTAGGGAAGACAAAAATTTATTCAGTCCAAGGTGCTTACGGAAAATTAGGGGACTGAACATTTTGTTAATTTTGTTAATTTTTCCTTTATATCCTATTATTAGTCCGTGAAAGGAGAGGAGTCTACCTGTCAAGTGAAAACATCCGAAAGGTTGACGACACGAACTTAATGATACCGGTCATTTGGTATAGACAAAAGTTTGCTTATTTTTCGTATAAGTAGAGTTTCGAGTTTCGCTTATCCTGAATATGCATATGAGTGTGCAAAAAATAACTCGAGCTAACAATGCGATTAATAAAATGATGTCGTATGCATTGTGCCTTAACAGATGCCAAAAATTATTAATATTCTCTCGATATATGTATGCTAGCTGCCAGGATTTATATCACATACAGCAACTCGAATTGAGTCCAAAGCCTCAAGTTCCGAGAAGGTCTTCTCTTCTGCCTCATCAAGCTTCGCATCCGATGCGTTGGTCTCAGGAACCAGGTTAGAGTCGGGTCGGCTAATTTCTTCCGACCTGCCAGGCTGCTCTGCCCATTGATTCACAGAGTCAGGTGAGGAGATAACGGACCTGGAGGAGACACT